GGCAGGACTGTCTCCCAGGGGGGTGGGGGGCAGAGGGCTTCTGCTTCCTGGCCTTTTGCTCCTAGAGGCACCTCCTCTCCGGGGCCTTCCACCGCCAGGCCCTTCCCGCCAGCTCGTCTTCCTCCAACTCTTCTGCCTCTGGCTTTCGGTTTAGGGACGCCTGTCCCTGCTGGAGGTCACCTGACTGGCAACCTTCATTCCACCTACATCATTAATCCCCTTTTACCACGTAACCTAAGATAGTCACAGGTTCTGGAAATCGTGGTGTGGATGATTTGGGGGGGTTATCATGCTGACCCTGGGGGAGCAACCTTGTGTGATGCCATTTGGGTTTCTGCTAAGACAGGAACATCACGTGGCTCTGCCAAAGCAGCCGCAGTGGCCAGCCAGAAATGACGCTTTGAGGGTCTCTCTGGTCAAGCGTTTAATTCCTGGCTCTGGAGATATCCTCAGATATCCTGATTTGCCTGCCATCCAACCTCCGGGAATCCCATGTTTTGCAGTGAATGAGGCCAGTGTATCTTTGCTTAGGACCTCGTCCGAGCCTGTGACCCCGGCCTCAGTGCTGGGGTCCCACAGCCCGCCTGTTGCTCCCAAAGACCTGCTCCAGGTGCAGAAGCGCACACAGAACTAGTGGCATCCTGACAGCTCTGGGTGGGGGGGTGGGGATCACCCTGTGAGCTCCTCCAGCAGCATCTCGTGCTGTGCGTGCTTGGCCACTAGCACCAAATCGAGGGAGCGTGTGGTCAATATGTGGACCCCTGCTTCCCATCCCAGCTGGTGAAACATGGAAGTCGAGTTGGTCCAGCACCTTCAAAAGGCAGCTCTGGATACACAGTCATGTCCTCTCCTCCTGCCCCAACGTGGACCCCCGATGACAGGTGATGGATGACGATGATGGTGGCACCTCCCAGGTCCCTGAGCCTTGGGATGAGCTGACAAGGAACCACTTTTGGAAACTGTGCTGTGTCGTAAACAATGGGCCCTCAGGGTGGTTTCTATGCTCAGGGTCTGGGGTGGAATTAGCTGCTCTTGGAGGTTAGGGGATCGATCACACTCAAGGAGTCTCTTCCTCCCACCCATATGCCCTCACAGACTCTACATGTTTTCTTTAGTGTGTAGATACGATTTTTTTTTCCTAACCTCTCCACTTAAGGGATAGTGATATGGTGTTTCCTGTGTCAATAAAAACCCATCCTCAGCATAATTCATAACGACTATGCAGTTACACAAATGAATGTGTCACACTTGACCCGAACACTTCCCTCTGTGGGGTCTTTAGGTGGAACTCCATGTTCTTCTTGAGCAGGGCTTTCTGGTGGCCACACATGGTTGTGACGGTCCGTGGTAGGCTGCCTTGTGTCATCTGACATGTGCTATCTTGCCTGTTGTTGATGAGAAAACATGTTAGGCTGATGGCATTTGGGGTGGGTGTCACAGAGTACTGCTGGCGTCACCGGGATTGAACTGTTTTGGTTTTTGTGTGTGTGTTTTGTGTTTTTTTGGTTGAACTGTTTTTTTTTTTAATTTATTTTTTCATGAGAGACACAGAGAGAGAGAGAGAGAGGCAGAGACACAGGCAGAGAGAGAAGCAGTCTCCATGCAGGGAGCCTGATGTGGGACTCGACCGTGGGACACCCTGGGCCGAAGGCAGATGCTCAACCACCAAGCCACCCAGGTGTCCCTGGTTGAACTGTTTTTATGAAGATCAGCAATACTGACCTTGACAAAGGATTCCTCTGTGAGTAAGTGATAAGACAAGACAAGCAAGTGTGGGTGGCTGGCGAGACTCACACAGCTTGGCTGTTGGAAGACGTTTGGTTGTCCAATCACCAAGAGACTCACTCTGGGGAGGAGTGGAATGGACGGGGCCTCTAGACAGCCTGGCTCCTGAGGAGGTGGCTCTGCCTGCCGAGAGCCTGGTTCAGAGGTGTCAGGACGGCAGGTGGGCAAGTTTCCGCAAAGGGCCAAAGAATCGAGGCCTTTTCTGATTTCTTATCAGTACTGGACAGTGTGGGGGCCGCCTGGTGCCCAGCAGTTTTGCCTGGCCTCCCGTCCCTTGCGGGGAAATCGGTGGTCAGCCAGGGGTTGGTTCTCACTGTTCCCTATCAGTAGCCGTAATGCTTTATTTTTAATTGTTTAAATTGAGCTATAATTGGCACTTGACACTGTATTAGTTTTAGATATATAGCAGGATGATGTGGTACATGTGTGTTTTGGAAAATGATGGCCACAGTCATCACCTTGCAGAGTCACAGATTTGATCTTTACTTTTGTGATGAGAACTTTTAAGATCTATTCTAGCAACTTTCGTTTTCTTTTTTAAAGATTTTATTTATTCATGAGAGACAGAGAGAAAGAGGCAGAGACACAGGCAGAGGGAGAAGCAGGCTCCCTGTGGGGAGCCTGATGCGGGATTTGAGCCCAGGACCCTGGGATCACGCCCTGAGACAAAGACAGACACTCCACTGCTGAGCCCCCAGGTACCCCCTCCTAGTGACTTTCAAACATACAATACTGTATCGTTAACTATAGTCCCCACGCTGCACGTGACATCCTCAGGACCCTCTGCACCCACCCCCGTGCCTCGGTGTCCCCTCTGTGCTCAGTTGCTGGCTGGAATGCTTGGACGGACCTGACGGGATGGCAGGTGGCTCCAGAGCGAGGCCCAGGGCCCTGGGATTAGGCTCCTGTAGTTGGAAGTGTGTAAGGACCCATTTTATGGCCACCATCTTCACTCTTCAGAATGAACTCCACATCTGTCCCCCGAGTGCCCAGGCTCCTCACCCCACAGGGGTGCCCCTATGGCCCCTGCACTGACCCTCCTTCACTGGGCAGTTTCCCTAGTTCTAGCTCGGGTTTTACTGGAGGTACCCTTGGTTAGAAAGAATAGATGCGGGGATCCCTGGGTGGCTCAGCGGTTTGGTGCCTGCCTTTGGCCCAGGGTGCGATCCTGGAGTCCCGGGATCGAGTCCCACGTCGTGCTCCCGGCATGGAGCCTGCTTCTCCCTCCTCCTGTGTGTGTCTCTGCTTCTCTCTCTCTCTCTCTCTCTCTCTCTCTCTCTCTCTCTCTCTGTGTGTGTGTCTATCATAAATAAATAAATCTTAAAAAAAAAAAGAAAGAACAGATGCTCTCCCTGGGGGGCATAAGCAGACAGTCTGGCCTGAGGAAGGGAATTCCCTAGGAACCTAGGGCATGAGGCCATCTCCATCTCTCTGTCTCTTTCTCTGTCTCCTCTTTTTATGTCTCTCTGTCTCTGCTCTTCTCTGTGTCTCTCTGACTCCCTTCGAGCTCTGCAGACCCATTCCCTCCGCTTGGCCAGGACCTGCTACATGGTGGTGGCCGAGGATGGGATCCTTAGAGCCTGAGCACCCCCCACCCCTCTCCCATGATCTCGCAGGCAGTGCCCGGCAGGTGGCAGGTGTCTACACTGGGCCAGATCAGCCCGTCTGCCCAGAACAGCATCCAGCGCCTACTCAGCAGATGTGGCCTTTCTCTGTCATCCTCCAGGACAGTTTGAGCTGCTCCCCATGACGTGTTCAGTGAGAATGCAGGCCTGCTTCTGGACCCCCAGCACCTTTTCCGTCTGTCTTAGCTGCGTGCAGGGCACTCAGCAGCTCGTGTGCTAAGCAGCCTGGGGCTGCGGTTCTGGCCTGGGCCTCCCTTCCCAGGCCCTGGATGCGCAGCTCAGTAGCTTTCCTGGGGCCCTGTGGTGATGCCGAGGCCAGGACTCGCCCTTTCTTTCCTCCCGGGAGGGAAGCAGTTCACTCTGAGACCCTTTATGCACCCTGCCCAAGATGACGTTGATTAGTCTGATTTGTTTTGTAGCCTATAAATACTTACTGGCTGGTCCTTCTGTTTCAGAAACTCAGAAAAAAAAAAAAAAAGGAAACATGTAACACTTTTTATTTAAAAATAAAAGGCCACAACAAAATACAGGGGAGTCCGGATCCCTGTGCCTGCACCTTCAGTTTTTATCTCAGAAAAGCAGTCAGCCGCTCCTGCTGAATCAGGGCAGGAGCATGAGGTGTTGCACAGACACTGAGGGCTTTATTTCTCCTGTTGTGTGTGCGTGTGGACAACACAGGAAAGGCGCACAGAGAATGCAGTGAAGCCCCCTTCTCTCCCAGCCAACTGGGCCCCTCCCCGCCAGTGCCTCTGTCCCTGATTTCCAGAACATTCTTCCAGAGGTGAGATAAGGTCATCCTAACATTTTTCAGGTGATGTTTATTCATGGCCACGCTTGATTCCTTCTAGGCTCGTCTCTGTAAGCTCTTCCAGGGTTGTTAAAGAGTATGTGAGAGGCTGCGTGGCCCTGGGCTTTGATCTGACTGCTTAATTGCCTTTACTAATCACGCTGAGATCAAGAGGATAAAAATAGCCTCCAGGGTCGGAGGGTGATCAAGTCCCCACCCCCCACCCCCGCCCCATGCCCGGTCGGGGCGGCAGGGCTGAGGTCTCACAGACTCTGGCTGGCAGGCCGAAATCATCACTCTAATTAAATAAACCAACCTGAACTGCTGGAGCTTTGCAAACATTGTGACAGCAGGTTTCAGACCATTTACTCAGGGAGAAGCCGGAAGAGGGTAGGAAGGCAGATCCTGAAAAGATTCCAAATTGTTTTCCTCAGTGCTTGGTTCCCACGCAAAATGAGAAGGCTCTCTCTGTCTCTGTCTCTGTCTCTATCTCTGTCTCTATCTCTGTCTCTCTGTCTCTCTCCTCCCCACTCTCTCAGTGTTTTCTCTCAAAACTTCTGAATAAAAGGCCTCTGGGGATCCCTCTCTTTCTGAGTATTGGCTAGTCCTTCTCATTTTGGAATATCCTGGAGGCAGCCTGGATGGCTCAGTGGTTTAGCGCTGCCTTTAGTCCAGGGCCTGATCCTGGAGTCCCGGGATTGAGTCCCACGTCGGGCTCCCTGCATGGAGCCTGCTTCTCCCTCTGCCTGTGTCTCTGCCTCTCTCTCTGTGTTTCTCATGAATAAATAAAATATACTTTTTTTAAAGTGGAATATCCTGGTCACCAATCCACATCCTGTAAAACCTGACTTGAGACTCCTCTCCTACAGGAAGGCCTCCAGGATTACTCTCTTAGCCTCCAGGTGAGCTCATCGTCATTGTCAGGGCTTGCACAGTTAGCCTGGAAGTCATTTTTTCACTTACAGATAAAATCCCTTTAGAACTCATTTTAGAGGCTTCGGTTGTATGTATTTCAGCTTTGTAAGCAGATCGTGTGTTATATCAGGTCCAAAACGGTGTCTTCTATCTCTTCCCTATTCCCCCAAGCTGAGCTCATGTCACCTGTCACATAGGAACCTTTTCCAGTAACCTTGGAATCCAGGTAAATGGTGTCATCGTCCCCTAGCCTGCCAGGCTTGGAACCTGCAAGCCCTGGAAAGCATCTCAGCCGTCCGGCGTGCTGACATTTAATGCACAAATGGACTTGAGGCCAGCAGCATAACAGGATTTCACGCCCTGAAACCTGCACCGAGGTATCTGTGCCTAACAGCTTCAGAGAGGGGTGGGGGCTGTGAGCTTGGGGTCTGACTTTGGGCAGAGGACCTGGCCGGGAAACGGTGAGTCTCAAAGCCGCCTCTGGTCCTCCCAGGAGTAGGTATCAGGAGGGGAGCCCCCTGGTCAGGGCACCTGACCTGGCTGCCCTGGCCCACCGAGCTGTCAGGAGGGGCAAAGGGCACCAGTCTGTTGACCTTAGGCCATGAGCAGGTGAGCCCAGGGAACCGTTTGGCTGAACAAACAGCCTTAGAGACTCTTAGGGTAACTTCCAGGTTTAAGATGAGTGGCTCTTTGTAAAATACAGGTAAATTGGGAGAAAAGACACCAGGCTTGATTCAGTTACTTTGGTTCATCCCTGCTTGGGTCATCCTGGGATTCCGGCCAGCCGTCTCCACCCTCACATGGGGCCATGGGCTCTGGGCTCGGGCATCTCCTGATGGCCTTGGCCAGCAAGGGTGGGTGGCCCCCGGTACCTCAACAACCCCAGCGGACGACCAGCAGCTGGCAGAGCAGGGTCACTAGGAGCAGAGCAGGGGCACACGAGCAGTGGGCGTCCTCAGGGCCCTCGGGCATGTTCCCCTGAACTGGGGCTCTGAGAGTTTTGGCTGAGCCGGGGTGGCCCGCGGGCCCAGACTGTGGCCACAAACAGAAGCAGCCACGCGGGCCCCAGGGTGGTTGGGGTGACTCTGCTCTCCAGCCGTACTCAGCGCCCGGGCCTTCCATCCTCCTGCAGTTACTGGTAAGAGACCCACTGGGCAGCCCCGGGCATTGGAAATCTCCTCCTGGAGGCTGAGCGGGAGGTAGAGATGGTCCAGGCCTCGAGGCTAGCTCCTGGCCAGCCTCGTCCCCAACCCTTCATGGCCTGGGGCCTCACAGCCCCTCAGGCTTCTGCACTGGGCCTGCTCCTCCCTGTGTCCAGAATCTCTCTCCTGTCTCTTGTGAGGACACAAGCTGTAAGGTTGGGGCCCACCCTTAATCCAGACCCTTCACTTGATCACATCTGCCGAGAGCCCTATGTTCAAATGAGGTCACATTCACAGGTACTGGGGACTTGGACTTCACTTTTGGGGGCATGATTCCATCTGCCAGCCTGGTCCTTGAGCTCGCAATCATGAACGTCATGTCCTTTGGTAGAGATAGACGGGGTTGTCCGGGGACCCAGTCCTGCTCTCCAAGGCTTGTGGTCTTTCTTCCCCTTCTCCTCCTGAACCCAGGGTTAGGGGAGGGGATATCTATCACATCTTGGTGCCCCCGTCTGTGCCGACTCCTCAAAAATAGAAACAAATGCCCAGTTGGCTTCAGGTTACCATTACAGTCCTACTATGTACATGGAGTGAAGGGCCTCACCGGCCTCAGCGAACTGGGTCTAGTCAAAGAACAGAATCCATGTGGAGACATGTCACACGATGACCCATGTTCTGCTCAGTGGGGGCTGGCCTTTTAGAGTGTGTTGCACACTGAACAAGTAGACTAAGAATGCCTCTGTGAGGGAATAGCTAGAAAAGGTCCAAAGAGCCAAAATTCTGCAAAGTAGAGCTCGTTTTACTATTTCAACTACAGTAGAAATCCTCTTCACAGAGGCTTTTCGGCTGGTTGGTTAAGTGAAAAAGTCCTGAAAACAAGGAATGCTTTTTAAAAAAAAATCTATAGAAATAATCTTGTTTGAATTTCGAACATGCAAATGCACACTTTTGAAAGGTGAAAACTTTGTCTTTTTGGGGTAGTGCCGTGGCCTTCTCTTAGAGTATGGGTCATTGCCAAGAACTGGGGGTGCCTTTCTGCTGCAAACCACACCTGTGGTCACAGCTGGGATTTCTGCTTTGGGTCTCCTGAAAGCAGGACGCATACGAATAATAACCAAATGAGACAGACTCACTGATAAAGGCACTGGAGAACTTCCAAGGGTTCTGGAATGTTCTCTATCCTGAATCACATGATAGTTACACAAGCTATACAAATAAGATTAATTTTTTGGCTTTTTTTTTACCTTGATAAGAAAATTTTAAAAATACAAAAAATTGAGAACAAAAGAGGTAAGGTAATCTTAGTATGTGTTCTACATTTTTATGATTTTCCCTATTTTCTTTTATTTTTAAAGATTTTCTTTAAAAAATATTTTACTTATTATTTGAGAGAGAGTACAAACAGGGGAGCAGCAAGCAGAGGCAGAGGGAGAAGCAGACTCGGCTGAGTAGGGAGGCCGATGTGGGGGCTTGATCCCAGGACCCCGGGGTCACGACCTGAGCCAAAGGCAGATGACTTTCCCTACTTTCTACAAGTGTCCTGTCCACGGCTCACATAATGGCAACTTTCTTAAGGCAAGCTCATTATGGAATCTTTCTAGTCATTCAACTCAGTTTTCATAGACACAGAATCCTTTCTTTTTCATTGCAACGGCCACAGTTGATGTATTGTGTAATCAAATTGCACACTGTGATAAGTTTTAGGAACAAACACGATGGGCCCTCGGGAGGCGTGTCAGGAAAGAGGAAGGACATGCGGGCCAGGGCCCTGGCACCCAGTAGTCCCCGTGCCCTCTGGCCGAACATGAGCTGCCCAGGGAGGCCTGCTGACTAGCCAGTTATCCACCCCTACTGTTATCTCCCTTCTGTAAATGTGCATGTGATGTTACCCTAAGTCTGCAGGACAGCTTTTGTGGAAGGCACTGGGTCTCCCTCGTGAACCCACCGAGTGTTGGCCCAGAATTCAGGGGTTGTCTTCCCCGATCTGGCTTTCCTGGGACACAGTGATACAGCCTCTGCTGAATCAGTTCATTTTTGCCTCAGTTTACCCCCGACAGGTGGGAATATGAGCCCTGCCCTACCACAAACGACTGTAGGGAGTCACTGGGGGAGAGACAGACCCCACCCAGGGGTGCCTGGCCTGAGGGGTGGCCCTTGGGGAAACCATGTTGGCATGTCCACACAGGCAGGACCAGGGATTAAAGCAGAAACAGCCTTCGTTTCCCCTCCTTGCTGCCACGGCTGCCTCACTACGTGGGCTCCTCTGGGACCTAGCTTCAAGTCCCCCTGTGGCCAGCCTGGGACACACAGAGTGAACTTGGTACTGAGCACTGCTTGCTCCCCTCCCAGACCCTGGCCCACAGGTGGCCCTAAGGGGACGTTGTCTGGGTGCTCAGCCAGGCTCTCATCATAGGGTGATGCATGGGAGTGCAGCCAGGGCATTAGATCCCATTAGGCACCGAGCCATGGGGACGTCCTCACCTCGGCTACCTCCAAATGTGCCCTAATTTGGACAGAGGATCTTTGCAGGCACGTGCTTAAGATGACGTGCAACGGATTACAAGGGCTGTGCTCATGTGCAAGGGAGGTTTGGATGTCTGCGCAGCGGCGGGAGAGGCCTCAGGGGGAGCCGGCCCTGCCTGCACCCTGACCCCAGACTTCAGGCTTCAGACCGTGCGGAAGTAAGTTTCTGTCTGTCCCCCCCAGGGTGGCGTATCGGTGAGGGCAGCCCTGCCAATGTACCTGCTGAACACACACCACACAGCACACATCTCTTGGCCACAGGTGGTCACTTCACCTGTGACTACGAACCACAGGGCCAGGTATCAAAGATGGCTTTTATTTATTTTTATTTATTTATTTATTTATTTATTTATTTAAAGATTTCATTTATCTATTCATGAGAGACACACAGAGAGAGGCAGAGGGAGAAGCAGGCTCTATGCAGGGAGCCCCATGTGGGACTCGATCCCAGGACTCTAGATCACACCCCGGGCCAAAGGCAGACACTTAAGGGCAGAGCCACCCAGGGATCCCCAAAGAAGGCTGTTGAAACGCGAGTGTACTTTGAGAGGATGCAGCCCCGTGAGCATCTGTGGCTGATAATTTGGTGTGGGAGACAGCATAGCCCAGCAGCTGAGACCCTGGAGCATGAGGCCAGTTAGGTCCCAGCTCTGCCTGTTCCCATACGTGTGGCCAAGAGCAAGTGCCATCACCTGCTCTGCTGCCCCTGTAAATGGGAGGTAATAAGCTGTACTCACCTCATGGCATTACACAAGGATCAAGTGAGTTAATATTTGCAAAGGGCTCAGCGCAGAGCCTGGGAAATGGAAAGCCCGATGTGTTTGCTGTTCTCTCCGTCATCTGAGAGGCCGGGGTGGCAGGTGACTGGGAACACAGTGTGGTGGTGTGGGCAGCGGGGGCCAAGCCACCATCCTGAGCGTGCCAGGACCTCTTTGCACTCTCAGCAGTGTTGAGGACACAAGGGACAGTTGTTCCTGGGGATTACACCTGTTGATATTTTTTCCCCATTAGAAATGACTGATTAGAACTCTCCTGTACTGGAAAATAAAACCGAGAACATGTAACAATATTTAGTAATTCATTTAAAAATAATGATATTATTATTCATTTAAAAATAAGGATGATATGTCCTTTCTGTTTTCATGTGAACATTTTACGGGAAATAGCTATATTTACATTTCTGTAAAGCTCTTTCAATCTCCTGAGCTCGGGACCCCACGTCCTCAGCCCGCTGCCTTTCACCCCCAGGCCAACCTAACTGCACACCTGCACCTCTGGCCAGGTCTCCCAAGGGCCCTGGCAGTGGAGGCAGAGACACCTGCCTCCTTCCTATGCCCCGTTCACCCATGCGTCCGGCCTTGGGTCCTGCACCCGGTGCTGGGTCCTGCACCCGGTGCCCGTGGCCGAAGACTAAACGCTGGAGAGACTTTATTGCCTCATCACCCCTAGACACAGTCCAGCCATCTGAGAACACCAGGACCTCACCCTGGTCAGTCCTTTGGTGGCCAGGAGATGTCCCTGTCGTGTCCCTGCCAATGCAGGGCCAGAGGCCATGGGAGCCACGGAATTCAGATCCTTGAGTGCAGCACAGCTCACCCCAGGGCCTGCCGCGGCGCCCAGAGCATCAGCCGGGCTGCTCTGAAGAAACAGAGCTCAGAGGAGATTTAAACATAGACACGTGCACGGTGGAGTGTGGGCTCATGTGGCGGCGGAGGCTGGCAAGTCCCAGGAGTTGCACTGTGCAGGCAGCCCAGGTGGCTCAGCGGTTTAACACAGCCTTCAGCCCGGGGTGTGTTCCTAGAGTCTCGGGATCGAGTCCCATGTCGGGCTCCCTGCAGGGAGCCTGCTTCTCCCTCTGCCTGTGTCTCTGCCTCTCTCTCTGTGTTTCTCATGAATAAATAAATAAAATCTTTAAAAAAATAAAAAAGGAGCTGCACTGTGCAAGCTGAGAGCCAGGGGAACCACGGGGTAAGATGTCCCAGGCCGACGTCCCAGTTCGGAAACAGGCAGAGAGCAGATGCTCCCCCACCCGCTCTGTTCCATCCACACCTCCCGCTGATCGGTGAGGCCCACCTGCCCCAGGGGGAGGGCAACCTGCTTTTCTCAGTGTGCAGATTCAGACGCTCATCTCATCCTGAAACACCCTTGTGGAGGACACCCGGAGCACTGTCTGACCAAACATCTGGGCACCTGAGGTTTGGCCACGTGATGCGTGAAGGTGACCGCCACACCTGCTGAAGGCTGTCCAGGTCTGTCCCCTTCTGGCGCACAGGGCAGAGGGCGTAGAGCACCTGCTGGCTGGTAATGAACGCACAGCACAAAAGTGGCGGGAGAGCCCATCCCAGCAGCACCTCTGTCCTCAGTACGTGGAGACATGTGGCCTGGCCCACCTCCCACTCTCCCCAACCACCACGTGGCCTGGAACTCCTCCCGGGGCCCTTTGCCGCTGGTGGGGTTGGTGCTGGGCCCTCCATCCCTGAGCACAGCGTGTGCAGGTGCAGGGCTCAGAGACCTTCCTGTTCCCCCCACGCCGCCCCACCTGTGGAAACCAGAGCCCTCATCTGATTGTTTTCCCAACTCTCCCCAGAAATCTGCTTCGGGAGCTGAACCAGCCACAATCAGCGCAAATATTTTTTGTCTGTCCAGATGGAAAGACCATGTTTTGTTTTCCAGGTGCTGCCATTCATTGACCTGAGGCAAACGGCCTGTGCCGTCCTTCTGACTACATGACGATGGAGCCATCAAGGTCAGGGTGAGGGACCTGGACACCACGCAGGGCAGCACAGCCCAGGAGGAGCCTCATCCCAGGTCACCCTGGGTCATCCTGGGTCACCCCAGAGTCCTTCTGGCCCATGATACCCATTTGCTTCTCCAGAAGCCTTGATTACAGGCTGGAAGTGTGAATACAGTCTAAGCAGATACCAGTGTCAGTGGAGATAAACATCAAGCTTTATTGACTTAAGAGGTAAATATTGATGGAACTTAAATACCAAATCAATATTTACCTCAAGGGACAATACAGCCTGAAATTGAAGTTGGGCCATGTGTGCTCTTCCAGCACTTTAACTGCAGACTCCCGACGTCTTCATCAGGAGCGATGTGGTGAGAGATTCCTCGAGGCACCAGCAGTGAGGGCTGGCCGTGGTGGCCGTGGGTCCCCACTCACCAGAAAGCCTAAGAGTCAGAATTCGAAACCTGCACCACCCATGCAGAGCAAACCAGGAAACTCATGGCTTAGGCTTTTCGCTGAGAGTCCACCTGAGGGAAGGTAGAAGCTAGAACGGCACCGAGGCTGCACCTGCCAGCCAGGGCCGGCCGGCGACAGCTGGCTGCATGTGCTGTGCACCGCGAGGCGAGCAAGGCGCTGCCCCAGGCCTGGGCACGTGTGGCTCTCTCGGTGGCCTGGTGCGCTGGGGGGTCTGAGATGCTGCCACGTGTCACACCTGCCCCTCACCCCGGCTCCTCAGCCACAGTGAAGCAGCGTCAGCTGGGATCACAGCAGTGCTGATGTCCGCTCAGAAAGAGAAGCTGTGGACGGCGTAGGGGCTTGAGAAGGGATGCTCGGGAAAGAGATCTAAACTGAATCTGTGGTCCCGTGCACAAAGTCCCCACTGTGACGGGGAAGAGGCTGATGCTGGCAGGGCTGGGCCCCTCACCCCCTCGCGGAGCCCCCGAGGGTGTCACCGCCAGCCCCGCTCCACCCCCACCTGCCTGGGGCAGACCCAAGCCCAAAGCTCCGAGCCCCAGGGCACCACTCTCAAGGCCACACATGGTTTCTGGCTGTAGGTCCAGCACATCGGCCACCACAGGGGCTGCATTAGTTGGCCTAGGACGGCCCCAGGATGCTGCAGGCACCCCCCCCTGCTGTGAGCCTGCTCCCATAGGTGCACCTCCTGGAGCCCTTACAGTGTCAGTGAGGCCCCAGTACACAGGGGGTGCTCTCTGACCCAAGACTGCGCCTGCCATCTTGACAGATGTGGCCTTGCCCCAGAGGCCACACCATGCACATTTCTGGTTCGCCCATGACTGGGTCACATCCCAAGTCTCCAGGCACGCTCCGAGCTCTCCAACGTCTGTGTGCAGCAGGTGCCCTCAGAGCTGCCGCATTCGGGCCCAGGACCTCCACCTACTGGGTCAGCATTGCCAGTGTGCAGCCTGGCCTTGGTATTGCTCACGTCGCCATGTGTCGGGCTCCCAGACAGGAGGCCTCCCAAAGCTTCAGGCGGCCCGCCTCCCGGTCTGGGACTTCGGCCAGCTGTGCTGGGCTTCCGTGTCCCCGAGACTCTCACTTCCCCTCCATTCTTTTTTAAAAAAAAAGGGGGTCCAGGGGCGCCTGGGTGGGTCCATCGGTTGAGTGTCTGACTCTTTTTTATTTTTATTTTTATTTTATTTTATTTTATTTTATTTTTTTGAGTGTCTGACTCTTGATCTCAACTCAGGTCGTGATCTCAGGACCATGAGTTCAATCCCCATGCTGGACTCCTGGTTGGTTATAGAGCCTACTCAAAAAAATAAATACATAAAAATTAAAAAAAAAGAGTCTGTGTCACAAAGGAATAAATCCCATCATACAAAGATGCACACAGTACAGGTACACCTAGGATAAAGTGAATCCTTCCTCCTCTGCTCCCCTCCTGGAAGTCAGCCTCATATGGCCATGGCCTACCATGGCCAATTTGTTGTGAGGAGGACGCATGCATGCAGAAATACAGCTGAACAAATGGTTATTACAGTTTCTTCAACTTTACATAAAAGGCTTGTGCTACGCACGCTGACCTATGACTTGTCTGTTGAATGGGACAAGACAACATGGGTAAAACAGACCAACTGGGATCTCGCCCACGGCTGGACAGGGTCAGTGGCTGCAGCTCTGAAGCTTGGTCTCAGAACCCCCACGCACTCTTAAAAATCACGGAGGACCCCAGAGAGTTTTCATTGAGCTGGATTACATCTGCTGACATTTACCACAGCAGAAATTAAAACCAAGAAATTAAGATAAACGAACTCATTTTAAAATAAAAATAAACCCATCACAGGTTAATATATGTAACATGTTTGTACGAAAAATAACTATTCCCAAACAGAGGCTTTTATCAAGAAGACTGGCACTGCCTTATACGGCGGTGGACGGCTGGATCCTCCTGTCTGCATCTGCCTGCTGCCCGCGGCAATATCCTGTAGCCACTGGAAATGAGGCAGAAAAGGGGAAATACCGTGTTCCTGTTATGAAAATAGCTTTGAGCTCCTGGCCCCCCCCGCCCCGGGAGAACCTCGAAGCCCCGGACCTCGCCGCCGCGATGGCTTTCTGCATAAGAATGTCACGCGTGTTCCTAAGTATCTGTCTCTGTCGCTGAGCGTCACCGACTGATTTCGGAGCTCCCACCACGACCCGGACATTGTGAGTGAGGTGGGGGCCTGTGCTCCCCGAGCTTCCCTCCGGTGGGGGCCACACATCCAAGCAGGCCAGCGGAGGGCTCGGGGGAGCTGATTTTAGCTGGGGATAGATCCGATGGGGGGAAAACAGCAGATGAGCAGGAATTGAGGGCCTATTTTTAAACTCCATGTTCAAGAGGGCACCTGGGAGGCTCCATCGGTGAAGCATCTGCCTTCGGCTCAGGTCACGATCTCAGGGTCCTGGGATAGAGCCCTGTGTTGGGCTCCCTGCTCAGCAGGGAGTTAGCTCCCCCCCCCCTCTGCCCACACCCCTGCTTGTGCTCTCCTCTCTGTCAAATTAATAAATAAAATATTAAAAAAAATAAACCCTGTGATCAAGGGAGGGCTGCCTGCTGACGTTGGGTCAGTGGGGGGAGCCCACAGTGGAGGGCAGAGCCAGGGTGGGTCCTGGGGTGGGTCCTGGGGTGGGAGCAGGCCTGGCCTGCATGGGGACCACGTGCCAGGGGGCGACCAGGGCAGAGCTCCTGCGTGTTATTCCACAGGAGACAGAGCTGTTTTGAGCAGCTCAGGCCACATGCCCAAATACCACGGGTTGGGGGCGCAAACAACAGAAATCCTCATGTCTTTGGGTAGCACTGGAGGCTGGTGGCCCCAGGTCAAGATGCAGGCTGACGAGAGACCCTGAGGACGCCCCCGGCTTGCAGGTGGACACCTTCTCCCCGCGCCCCTCCCTGGGCCCTCACGTGGCCCCTCCCAGGTGTGCGGTGAAGGCAGAGTGTCGGCTCTCGGGTCTGTCTCCCACCAGGACACTAACCCTATCGGATCAGCCCCACCTCATGGCCTCCTGGATCCCTAACTACTTCCTGGGTCCAAATACAGCCAGGCTGGGGATTAGGGCTTAGACAGAGGACGCCTAGGGGGACATGTACATTCCAGCCATAACAGACATCAGGGAAGAGTTTGAGGCTGGGGCTGGTGTCATCTGATTCGCACAAAACCATCTGTTGGTCGGAACCTTCGGGAAGCGTGGGGCCAGGGAGGAAGCTTCAGCCACAGACTGTGCCAGAGGTGTCAGTGTGGGGCCTGGGGGGCAGGGAGTGGGCGCGGGGGTGACAGCAGAGGGTGGGAGTGAGCGGGTTCTGAGGTAGGGCTGAGGGGGTTGCTAATGCCTCCGGATGTGGATGGCCCCCGGGCCTGGCTCCGGGCACTGGTGGTAGCACCAGGCAGGCAAAGCGCACCTGCTCCCACGTCTCGGATGGGAGCCTAGTGTGTGGGTAGGGCACATACACAGTTACCGGAAGAGTTTAAGGCAAGAGCAGGCACATTTACATTACAAAGGTGTTGCTAAGGTGCTATTCTGGGTCAAATGGTGTCCCCTCAAAACTCACACCTGCCCGATGCCTCTGACCTCATTTGGAAATGGGGTTTTTGTAGATGTAACCGAGTTAAAATGAGGTCACGGTGGACTAGGGGGGCCCTAAATCCAATGACTGGTGTTCTCCTAAGGGGAGAGAGACACACAGAGACACAGACACTCCCAGGAAGGAGCCTGACACTGCAACACCTTGATCTTGGACTCCTGGCCTTCAGAATGGGGGTTGTTGTGGGCTTTCTTAGCGAGGCCCTGGGAGGGTGCTGTGGCTGCCCCCCCAGAGCCAGTGTGTGGACCCCCGGGCTTCCTGCCAGCGCTAGCCATAAGCACTTGTAAACCTGCACGCCTATAATTCCCACACAATGACCCTTACAGGGCTGAGCAGTGTTTCCTGAGTTTATTGGACAATGATTTCATTGCCCCCTTCTGGAAATTGCCCGTTCGGATCTTTTGTCCGTTTTTCTTCTGGGTCATTTCTTAATTCGTAAACACTTACTATGTCTCTATCCCCACTCCAAGATGATAGTACATTTTCCTCTTTAGGATTTTAATCTTTGCAGCCTGTATTTCGTGTTTGGTTTCAATCCATCTGGAATTGACCAGGGGCGTGGTTGAAGCAGTTCTCTATTTTATCTCCCAAAAGGAGGGCCGGTGTTTCCAATTCTGCTGATTGAACGGCCTGTCATAATCTCACTGGGCGACTGGCAACAAAAGTCAAAGGGCACCAGTGTATTTAATTTTTTGTAGACCACAATTTCCTCTATCTTGACCAGCTAAGTGGAAAACCGCCTAAGACTAGAATATATCGTGTCCTCCTCTCTGGGCTCCTTTTGTCAGCCGCTTTGCTGCATGACAAAGAAGCAGGCCCGGGGACTTGGACTGGCGAACGGTCAGGAGTTGTCCGCCACCGGATGCTTGTAAACACGTTCCACCAAGTGGTCCCGGTCCCGGGGAGGGGGAAGCACTGAGCTGACCTCACAGCTTCGGGTTGTGCTCTGGGTCCACCTGTCATGGCAGCTGGGGGACCCACAGGACCTTTCGGGTCCTCATTGTCTCACATGTAAACTGGGGATAAAACTAATAATAGGGACGCCCAGGTGGTTGGGCGTCTGCCTTTGGCTCAGGTCGTGATCCCGGGGTCCTGGGATCGAGTCCCACATTGGGCTCTCTGCAGGAAGCCTGCTTCTCCCCCTGCCTGTGTCTTTGCCTGTCTCTCTGTGTCTTTCATGAATAAATAAAATCTTTAAAAAATAATAATAATAACTCTACTCACAGCTATTCCCATGGGACTACTGTGATACCATATGGGGAAAGCACCTAGCCCAGGGCCTGAGGGTTATATCACCTCTCATTCCTTGTTTTCTGTTCTAATTTTTTCTCACTTTTTCCTTGATTAGAAATTAACCAGCTTTTTGATTTATTCATAAATTCAGCTGTTATTCTATTTCAGAACTTTTTTTTTCTATTCTCTTTACTGGGTATTTTTTCTGCTTTACTTGAGTGTATTATAGCTTACTCTCCCTAACTTTTTGAGCAAGATGGTGAATTAATTTAATTTCTTTTTTTCTACTGATATAAATATTCAAGTCTGTGACTTTGCTCTGTTTGTATTTCCACAGATTCTATCTAGTATTTCAATTATTACTATTTCCCAGAAATTCTGTAATTTTGCTTTCAATTTCGCTCTGACTCAAATATTGATCAACAGGGAATTGTAAACTTCCAGGCCTGTGTATGGTTTTGTGATTGTAGCAACCTCTAGTGTTGCTACACTGTGGTTAGATCATCCTTTCTACGTTATTTCTCCTTTTTGAAATGAATTGAAGTTATTTTGTGATTTATAACATGGCCAGTTTCTGCGAATGGAGTTAGAGCAACAGAAACGGGAAATTCCCAGGTAGATGTGATACACTCCTCGGCTCCTCTGCAATTCTGTGAAATATGTATAACTGTTGAGAGCAAATATTCTAGCATTTTCTGGGTACATTGATTATGTGGATTTAGTAAACATGCCACATGAACAGAGGAGGATGAGGGACCAGGGTGCTGGTAAGGGTTCTGTGGTACACTTGAAACGGTAGTCATTCTAGATAGACTGCAAGATTCAGGTAAGTTTATCACAATCTCTAGAAAACTGCTAACAGAATAACACAAAGAGATAAACCAAAAAGCTAAGAGATCCTTTAAAATGGAATACTAAAAATATATTCAAATAATCCAAAAGAAAGCAAGAAAAAGGGAGCAGGGTAACACAACCAGATGAAACAAAATCTCCTATAAATCATATGTGTCTGCCTATTTCCCTGTTTCTTCTATAATTTCTGTTTTCTTTTATAAGATTTAATGTATTAATATTTATAACTGTGACATCTATATTATAAACTGCAATGCTGAAGGATTCAATGTGTCTTTGTTTTATCTCACTTAATGTTTTTTGGTTGAAAAAAATACCAGTCAGGGATCCCTGGGTGGCTCAGCGGTTTAGCGCCTGCCTTTGGCCCAGGGCATGATCCTGGAGACCTGGGATCGAGTCCCACGTCGGGCTCCTGGCATGGAGCCTGCTTCTCCCTCCTCCTGTGTCTCTACCTCTCTCGCTCTCTCTCTCTATCATAAATAAATTAATTAATTAATAATAAATAAATAAATAAATCTTAAAAAAAGAAAAAAAATACCAGTCTCATATTAAGACTGAGATCTTTGCTTTTTTTTTTTTTTTTGCATGCCTTTGCTGATACTTTGATTTTTAACCTTTTAAAATAACTGTCTTGGTGAATATCTTGAATCCAGCCACAGAGTTGGGGAACAGCCAGACTCCAAGGTGGCATCCAGAGATTCTCATCCCTTGGTCTCCTGCCTCTTGGGTGGGTTCCTGTCACATCAACCAGAGCTGGTCTCCTCAAGCAATGGAAGAGATGGCAGAGATGATGGTATATGACTCTAAGTCTAGGTTATAGAAGTCATTGCAGCTTCTGCTCCGGGCTCTGGATTGCTCGTTCTGGGAAAAGTGAGATGCCATGTTGGTGAGGACACTCAAGTCAAGCTATGGAGAGGCCTCTGTGGAGAGGACCCACCTGGCCAGCCACGTGAGGGAGCCATGTTGGGCGTGGATCCTCCTGGCCCAGCTGAACCTTCAGACCAGCCCTCGGCCCCAGGCGGTCCCCTGAGCAGACAAGCATCCATCTGTCAATCCTCCCCTGAACATTTGACCCTCAGAAACTATAAGACACAAAATATAGCTACTGCTTTTTCCAACCACCAAATTTGGGGTGACTTGTTACATAGCAGTAGATATTTAATGCAATGATCCGATTTGAAATTTTTATTAATAGATGAGTTAAATCCTTTTACAGTTATTGGTGAGATGAATGCATTTGATTCTAATCTGTTATTTTGTGCTGTGATATCTAGGTATATCTATCTGCATATATAGGTACAGAATATATGACTATATCTATGCCTACCTATTTCTCTCTAGAGATTTCTAATACATATATGTGTGTATGTGTGTATCTATCCATCTGTTTCCTCAGACACACACGTACTTAGGCAATGTTTTACGATGTGGTCTGTGGCTGTAAACCTCTTAAATGTTAACTACTTTGAAGTTTAAGAAGGTTCTCCTTGCATTCCAGTCGTGTCATTTATAACCATGCCTTACTATAATGCCTGAACCACCCTCAGTCCCTAGGCAGGGTCTGGGGCCTCCCTGCCATAAGCAACAACAAAGTGGCTTCTCTCCTCCTCCTCCTGCTCCCCCACACCCCAGCTTTAATCAAAACTTACCTTTCTTAGCACCTACTACTTGTGATTTATTATAGCTGTTTATGTGCTTCCTTAATTCATCTGTCAGCCTAAATGTTACCTCTTGTCTCTCGGCGATTCTGATGAAGAAACAAAGAATTATTTTAAGTCCGTATTGGTTGATGATCCTCTCTCCCCTTGACTCTTGTTGGCTCTGTGGCTCCTGCGTTGTTGAAACACAAGATATTTGTGTTCTATTCTTTCACTAACACCTTCTCTACTTCTGACCAATTTGCTCAAACATACTTGTCGCTTATCCTTTGTGTAAATTTTCCTAGTTTCCTAGTTATCTTGTGGTTGGTTATAGCTCATCCTCTAGCAGCTTCCCCCAAGAAAGAGTCATGTGAAAAATATTCCCTGGAACTCTTCACATTCAAATGATTTGTTTCCTTTGTACACAAATGGGGTACACTGGATGGAAAGCCCCTCGCTCCATCGTACTTAGCTATTGGAGTGAAAAAGTCTGATTCCTTTTCTCTATCTTGTCCAGGTGCCTAAGGGATATTCCTCCCATTTGAACTCCACAGGGCTCATGGTCCACCCTGGTGAGAGACTGGGCCCTGGGGGAGCTCCCTCAACCATCCTGCACAACCTCTCCAGGGCTCTGGCAGAGTGAGAAGAACATAGGATTTGGAATAAAACATCCAGTTTCCAAACCCAGCTCTTTGTGATACTGAGTTATGTGGCTTCTCTGAATCCCATCTATAAAATGGGTTTAATAATATCCCTGGCACTCCTCTTCCACACATCAGAGGCTTGGTCAGAGAAGTCAACACACATGGAAACATGCTGCAAGGAGCTGTGCCAGAGTCAGAAGTTACTGCTGTGTGCCCTCGGTCACCTCTGCAATTCTCATCTGACTTGCGGCTAACCTGAGCACTTTGTGAGCGACAAGAAGGCAGGAAGTCTTCCCTGTGAGCATGGTCTAGGCAGACTGACCTACGGTGCTTGGCCCCCAAGTCCAGGACTTCACATTTGTCCCTATACACTCCCACCTTGGTGGTCCTAGCCTTATTTTAGGATCTCTTCAAGAGCTGTCCAACTTGAAAATTAACTTTGCTTCCAAGTCTTTGTCCAGGTTATTGATGTAATTCTGGCACAGGACAGGGTTCTGAGCAAGAGTCCTCCCTCTGGGTTGACAGCTGTCACTCACCTCAGCTGATTATTCCCACTTGGGTTGTGATTATTCAGCCCATTATAAGCCAGCCTAACTGATTCCAGAGCCTTCTGCACTCTGCTGCCAGCCTGCCTCACCAGGTCACTCCTATAACTGTGATACTCCCTGAGTGTGTAGCCTGGGGTTACTTAAGGTGTGATGAGAGTGTGAAGAAATGTGTAACAGGTAAGGCATGGACTCCCGCTTTCTCAACCTCAGCCTTGGCCCTGCAGGCACTGGGGGCTGGGCTGCTCCCTGCGGTGGGGCCAGCCCGCGCACTGAATGTTTGGTGGCTCCCAGGTCCCTCCCCTAGCTGTGACAACCCAAAGCATCCCCTGACCTGGCCGCATGTCCCAGGGTGACATGATTGCCCCGGATCGGAACCACGGACACAAAAATGCTGGCATAGTGTTAGTGTCACTGTTTGTTGTGAACCCATGGTATGCAGAGGCGGTGCGTGGTTCACCCTCCACCTCCAGGGATCGTGAATATGACCGTGCCCGTGTTTCCACCCTTCCCACTGGGCCTTTGTGACTCGTCGAACATCTTCCTAAGTTCCAGCAGCTGCCTCCGCGAGGCTGCATGACCTTGCCAGTGCTGACCTATCAGAGCAGAAATGGGGGGCGGCTGTGGGCGAGACACTGGGCGTGAACTTGCCCCAACGCCATTGCACTGCCCACAGACCCGTGAGTCCTCAGCCCCGGGACCATGCAGAATGGACTCAGAAGCAAAGAAAATCACTTGGCTCTTGCACCCCACCTCTGGGCCGTGTTTGTTTCTCCAGGGAAAGTGGAGACGGCCCTCCAACCGTTTCTGGTGGAGGATGGTGCAGGCAAACCAGCCAAGCTCTCTGAAGCTGGGTTCTGCGCTGCTAAGCACCGGCCTCTCCCGGGCGCTGAGGGCGGCGTGGTGGATGCGGGGGCCACTGCAGCTCTGCGTTCAGCTGGGGGGTGGCCAGGCCACCCAGGGCCACGCGGTGGGCAGGAGCCTGGGGAGTGAGCAGGGGCGAGGTGACAGGCTCCAAACCTCCCCTTTACTAGTCTGTTCTTGCCCAGTTGGGAGCTTTGCTGTGGGCACAGGATCATCACAGCATCTTCCTCCATTTCCTTCTCCGGAAATTAATTAATAAAATTTATATGTTAAAACCAAAGATTCCCTGTAAGCATGTAATTTTAAGTCTGTGTTAATCTGTTCTCCAGGCTTACATCTTGTTCCTTGCACCCATGTACTCCAGGGTCCTGGGCCCTTGGACCACGACCCATGATCCGGAGTTGAGAATGGGATCTGCGGGCATGGGGTGTGGTGTCGTTGTGAGGGCAACCACACAGAACACTTCCAGAGCATTCTTTGCCCTCTTCCCATGGAGAGCAAGAGCTTGTCACCCCCCTTGCATCTGGGTGGCCCTGTAATCCTCCCTGGGGTGGGGGGACGGATGCCGTGCAACTTCCTCCATCATTAACCAGAGCTGTTTTCCCACGCCCAGTGCCCCCTTGACAGCAGCATCCATGTGAAGTCTGACCACCTGCAGGTCCATGCTGGGATGGAGCCCAAGATAGCTACAGGGGGAGGGGGTGTCCAGCCGGCCCCCATGCTTCCAGGCCTCCCCCACTGAGGCCCCAGGCACGTGAGTGAGGACTTTCATGTCCGGTGGTCTCCAGAACAAACGGCCACACACAAGGCTCCAGTGTGACGCGGGAGGATGTGCGGTCCTTCTTTGACTACCAAGCCAAGCCCCTAAGTCGTCCTTAATCATCCAGAGGAATGCACCAGAATCTCATTTGCTCTTTATTATTGATTAGGGCCCAGGCTTTGTGAAGTTACATGTTAATTTGTGGATTATTTTGCGGGTAGAGAGGCAAATGATTTCTGTCCGGTGGAGGTGACCCCAAAGGCTGCAGATCTATTTCCCTGTAGGACAGTGATCACTTGCCGCTAACTCAGGAGACCCTCTAAGTGTCCGCCTGGCCTCCGGATGTAGCACTCTGCCCCTCCACTGCTCCTGGAACCAGCTTTGCTGTTTTGCTGGTTCACAAGCTAATCAGTTGAACAATGTTTGATGTGTCCGTGTTTCTACAAGAGTCTTCTTTTTCACTTTGTAAGATTGGAGGTGGCCACACAGATGGGCTTGGGGAGGTAAGTGAATCCACGGAGAAAGCCGATCCCTGAGATGAGCTTGAAGTTGACCTCTGGCACATTCTGACTTGGTATCCCAGGGGAAGGGTGACCTGCCTGACAGGGACACTCGGGTGAGGTTGGGGGAAACCAGGTCGTTTTCATCCAGAAAGATGATGGCTGTCAGGAGGGGTGCGCAACACCCACAGTACCACACAAAGTATCAAAGGAGGAACCTAAGCTTGTCCTCAAATTTGAGAAATATAAACCTCTTGCGGGTGAGAAGAGTCCGCTTGAGAGGGGAGAAGAGGGAAGTCCTCCAACAGCATGAGGAACACTGGGTGGATCCACTGGGAGGAGCATTGTGTGCCGTGTGCTCAGCAGTCTCTCTCTCTATATGCATGTGTATATGTGTGTACATGTGTACACGTGTGTGTATGCATATGCTTACACATATACGTGTGTATGCATACGTGTGTGTATCGTGAGCGTATATGTATAATGCAAGCACACGTGTTCATACATACATGCATGTATACACACGTTCACATGTGCATATGCGCACGTGTATGCGTGCATACATGTTTGTGTGTGTCTATCGCATACATGTGTGTATGTGTATACATGTGTGCATATGTGTACATATGCGTGTATGTGTATGTACACACATACACAGCCCAGATAAGGCTCCTCCCGCAGCCACAGGACCAGATGCCTTCTGACACTATGACCTTGCATCAGGTCCACATGTCACCCCAAGTTTTATTTTATTTATTTATTTATTTATTTATTTATTTATTTATTTAGTAGATAGTCCTCTTTTTTTTTTTTAAGATTTTATTTATCTATTCATGAGAGACACACACACACAGAGAGAGAGGCAGAGACACAGGCAGAGGGAGAAGCAGGCTCCATGCAGGGAGCCCGACGTGGAACTCCATCCCTGGTCTCTAAGATCACGCCCTGGGCTGAAGGTGGCGCTAAACCGCTGAGCCACCCAAGGTGCCCTCACCCCAAGTTTTATTTTTTTTTATTTTTTAATTTTTTTTAATAAATTAATTTTTATTGGTGTTCAATTTACCAACATACAGAATAACACCCAGTGCTCATCCCGTCAAGTGTCCTCCTCAGTGCCTGTCACCCATTCACCCTCCACCCTCCTCCCCCTCCACCACCCCTAGTTCGTTTCCCAGAGTTAGGAGTCTTTATGTTCTG